GTGCAAGAATAAATGTCATTCCCATTTCCATGATACTCTAGGCCAATCAGATGATCTCATTCATCATCATCATGATTACCATCATATTCTACATCACCACCATCATCAGAATCATCATCCCCACAGTCACAGTCAGCGCTACTCTCGGGAAGAGTTGAAAGATGCTGGCATAGCCACATTAGCCTGGATGGTGATCATGGGTGATGGCTTACACAATTTCAGTGACGGCCTAGCAATCGGTAAGTACATCTATATACATTTCTTTGGACTACTAATAAATAAATACTAATAAATAAAATACTTCTTTTGTCTGTATGCCATTTATTGGTCATGTTTTCTAAGCAGCTAAGATTTTTAAATTAGTAAATATCTATTTTTAGTACATTTGTGGATGGTTTATAGTATGTACCAGAAGAGAGATCACAGAAATGTGATCGGCGGTGTTTCAAATGATGGCAGTTTTATAGCATTTGAGCAGGACCTGAGTGCTTTAGGAATTCTAATATGTACCAAGTAGCAAATAAGAGAGATTGGTCAAGAAACAAATTGTAAGTGTATAAATGCATTGCAATTTCTTAAAGGCTGCAGGAATTTGGGGAGACTTAAACACATTTTTAAAATTTATTTTTATCAATCATCAGTAATCTGATTTCTTTCCTTCCCGTCCCATCCCTACCCCAATTGAAAACAAAAGAAAAATAAAACCCCTGTTACAAACATGTATAGTTGAGCAAAACAAATTTCTGCATTAGCCACGTCCCCCCAAAAAGTTTCATTCTGCACTCTGAGTCCTTTACCTCTCTATCAGGAAGTGAATAGTAAGTTTCATCATTAGTCCTCTGGAATTGTGGTTGGTTATTACAATGATCAGAGTTAGTAATTCTTTCAGAGTTGTTTGCCTTTACCATATTGTTGTCATATAAAAAATTGTTGTTTAGTTGTGTCCAATTCTCCGTGAACCCATGGACCATAGATAGGACACCAGGCTCTTCTGTCCTCCACTGTCTCTTCCAGTCTGTTCACGTTCATGTTCGTTGTGTCCATGACGTTATCTGTCCATCTCATTATCTGCTGTTCCATTCTCCTTTTGCCTTCAGTTTTTCCCAGCATCAGGGTCTTTTCCAGTAAATCCTGTCTGCTCATTATGTGACCAAAGTATTTAAGCTTCAGCTTCAATATTTGACCTTCCAGTGAATAGTCTGAATTAATTTAAGTGTTGACTGATTTGATCTCCTTGCAGTTCAAGAGACTCTCAAAAGTCTTCTCCAGCACCACAATTTGAAAACATCAATAAGGTGGCACTCAGTTTTCCTTATAGTCCAACTTTCACAGCCATACATTGCTACCGAAAAATCATGGCTTTGATGATATAGACCTTTGTCGGCAAGGTGATGTCTTTGCTTTTTAGCATGCTGTCCAGATAGTCATGCATCTTTTGATTTCATGGCTGCGGTTGCTGTCTGCAGTGATTTTTGAGCCCACGAATATAAAATCTGAAACTGCTTCCATTGTTTTCTCTCCTTATTTGCCTGGAAGTGATGGGACTAGTTGTCAAGATCTTTGTTTTTTTATGTTAAGCTTCAAGTCAGCTTTTACACTCTCCCTTCCACGCTCATCAAGAGACTTCTTAATTCTTCTTCACTTTCTACCATCAGAGCAGAATTATCTGCATTTCTGAGATGGTTGATATTTCCCCTAGCAACCTTAATTCTGGCTTTTGATTCATCCCAGCCTGGAATTACTAATGATGTATTCTGCAATATAAGTTAAATAAGATGAAAATATACAGCTTTGTCATACTCCTTTTTTCCTTCTTAAACCAATCAGTTGTTCTGTGTTCAGTTTAACTATTGCTGCTTAACCCACATACAGGTTCCTCAGCAGACAAGTAAGATGATCTGGTACTCCCATCTATTTGAGAACTTGCCATATTTTGTTGTGGTCCACACAGTCAAAGGCTTTAGTGTAATCAATGAAGCAGAAGTAAATGTTTTTCTGAAACTCCCTTGCTTTTTCCGTGATCCAGCAAAGTTGGCAGTTGGTTTCTAGCTACTCTTTTTTTCGAAAACCATTCTGCTCTTCTGGTAATTCTTTGTTCACATATTGCTGTTGCCTAGGTTGCAGGATCTTAAGCATAACCTTCCTGACCTGTGAAATGAGCAGTTGTTGAGTAATTTGAACATTCCTTGGCATTGCCCTTCTTTGGGATTGGGATGTAAACTGATCATTTCCAATCCAGTCCTGTTGAGTTTTCCAAATTTGCTGGCATCTTGAGTGTAGCACTTTAACAGCATCATCTTTTAGGATTTTAAATAGCTCCACTGGAATTCCATCACTTCCACTAGCCTTATTGTTAGCAGTGCTTCCTAAGGCCCACTTGACTTCATTATCGAGGATGTCTGGCTCTAGATCAATAACCACACCATCATGGTTATCAGTGATGTTAAGATCTTTTTGTATAATTCTTTTGTGTATTCTTGCCACCTCTTCTTAATCTCTTCTGCTTCTGTAAGTCCCTTCCATTTTTGTCTTTTATCATGCCCATTTTTGCATAGACCATTCCCTGGATATCTCTAATTTGTCTTTTCATTTTTGGGGGGGGGGGGTTAAGGCAATGGAGTTAAATGACTTGCCCAGGGTCATACAGCTAGTAAGTGTTATGTGTCTGAGGCCAGATTTGAACTCAGGTCCTCCTGAATCCAGGGCCAGTGCTCTTTCCACTGTGCCACCTAGCTGCCCCCTGAATATCTCTAATTTGAAGAAATCCTTTGTCTTTCCCATTCTATTGTTTTCTATTTCTTTGCATTGCTCATTTAAGAAAACCTTATTTCTCCTTGCTATTCCCTGGAATTCTGCATTCAGTTGGGTGTTTCTTTCCTTTTCTCTTACCTTTTGCTTTCCTTCTTTCCTTACCTTTTTTTAAAAGCATTTTTTTTGCATATTCATTTTAAACTTTTATTTAGTACTTTATTTTTCCCCAGTTACATGTAAAAACAATTTTTAACATTTATTTTTAAAACTTGAGCTCCAAATTCTCTCCCTTCTTCTCTCCCCAAGCCCCTCAGTGAGAGGGCAAGCAATTCTATATAGGTTGTACACGTGTAGTTATGCAAAACATATTCATAATAGTCATGTTGTGAAAGAAAATATAGACAAGAAAAAAACTCAAGAAAAGTAAAGAAGGTTTAAAAAAAGTATGCTTCAATTTGATTTCAGACACCATCAGTTCTTTCTTTGAGGGTGGGTAGTATTTTTCATCGTAAATCTTTGGAGTAGTCTTGGATTGTTGTATTGTTTCCTCAGCTATTTGTAAAGCCTCATCAAACAGCCATTTTGTTCTTGTTATTGTTTGTTTGCTTGTTTGTTTTTTGGCGAGGCCAGTTGGGGTTAAGTGACTTGCCCAGAGTCACACAGCTAGGGAATGTTATGTATCTGAGGCTGAATTTGAATCCGGGTCCTCTTGAATCCAGGTCCGGTGCTCTATCCACTGCGCCACCTACCCACCCCCAAAACAGCTATTTTGCTCTCTTGTTCTTTTTCTTTGGGACTGCCTCTTGTACAATATTGCAAACCTCTGTCCGTAGTTCTTCAGGCACTCCATCTACCAGATCTAATCTCTTAAATCTCTTCGTCACTTCCACTTCCTCTTCATAAGGGATGTTATTTAGATCTTACCTATACAGTCTGATGGTTTTCCCTACTTTCTTCAATTTAAATCTGAATTTTGCAATAAGAAACTCATGATCTGAGCCACAGTCAACTCCAGGTCTTGTTTTAACTGACTATGTAGAGCTTCTCCACCTTTGACTGCAAAGTACATAATCATTCCAATTTCTCTTTTGACCATCTGGTGATGTCCGTGTGTAGAGTCACCTTTTGGGTTGTTGAAAAGGAGTGTTTGCTATGACCAGTGAGTTCTCTTGACAAAACTCTGGTAGTTTCTTCCCTGCTTCATTTTGTACTCCAAGCCTGTTTAACTTGCCTGTTAATCCAGTTATCTTTTGATTGCTTACTATAGCATTCCAATCTTCTGTGATGAATGTGACATCTTTTTTTGGTGTTATTTCTAGAAAATGTTGTAGGTCTTCATAGGACTGATCAACTTTAGTCTCTTTGGCATCAATGGTTGGAGCATAGACTTGTATTGCTGTGATGTTGAAACAGTGTACCTTAGATTCGAACAGATATCATTCGGTCACTTTTGAGATTATATACCTGTGCTGCTTTTCTCACCCTTTTATTGACCATGAGGACTACTCCATTTCTTCTAAGAAGTTCTTGCCCACAGTAATATATGTAATGATTACCTGAATTAAATTCACCTATTTCTGTCTTTTTAAGATCACTGACACCCAAGATGTGAATGTTTAATCTTTCTATGTCCTGTTTGACCACATCCAACTTATCTTCGTTCATAGATCTTACATTCCAGGTTCTTCTGCAATAACGATCTTTACAGCATATTCTTTCCTATCATCACCTGCTGAGCTTCCTTTCAGTTTTGGCCTTAGCCACTTTATTAGTACTAGAGCTACCCATAGTTGTCTACTCTTCCCCAGTAGCATATTGGATACCTTCAGACCTGAGAGGCTTATCTTCAAATGTCATCTCTTTTATCATTTTAATAGTATCTGTGGAGTTTTCTAGATAAAGATACTGGAATGTTTTGCCATTTCCTCCTCCAGTGGATCACCTTTTGTCAAAACTCTCCACAATGACCTGTCCACCTTGGGTAACCCTGTACAGCTGTGCAAGCCCTTCTACCACAACAGTGCAATGATATAAAAAGTTGCCCTGGTTCTGTTTACCTCACTCTGCATCAGTTTACAAGTCTTCTCAGGTTTCTTTGAAACTATTTCCTTCATAATTTCTTATAGCACAGTAGTATTCTATCATATACATACCATAACCTATTCAACCATTCCCCAATTTATGAATATCCCCTCAGATTCCCATTCTTTTTCACCTTAAAGAGAACTAGAAAATATTTTTGTGTGTTCTCAGAATTTGTTTTTCTTAGAACTAATGCTTCCCTTAACCTATTCTTTCACTAATCTCCCCTTCCCCTTCTTTCCCTCTTATTTCTCTGATAAGTGAAATGTATGTCTGTACTCAACTGTGTATATGTGTATTCTCTCCTTTGACCAGTTCACATGAGTAAGGTTCAGATGTCAGCCACTGCCCTTCAGCCCCTTCTTCTTGTTGGTATAGAGTGATAGACTATTCTTTGTGTACTTTGATTTTATGAGATAATTTTCCTGCTTTTTTCCCTAGTGTATTTCTCTTACTTTCCCTTTCCATTTTTTTCTTTAGATCATCAAGGCATAATAGAACTATTCCCAGACCTTCTGTCTAATTAGACTCACTCTGTGAGTCATGATGATGATAGAGTTCATAGGGGACACCTATATCATGTCTATATATTAGATCGCAAACCGTTTATCCTTGTTTAGATCTTTAGAATTGTTTGTGTTTACCTTTTTTAAAAAAAAATTCTTGTGTTTGAACTTTTAAAATTTCTCCATGGCTCTGTTCTTTTCATCTGGAATGCTTGGGGATCCTCTGTTTCATTAAAGGTTTATTTTCTCCCCCCTAGCATTGTACTTTATTTTTCTGGATAGCTCATTCTTGGCTAAAAGTCTGTTCCCTTTGCTTTCTGGAATATAGTTTTCCATGTTCTCCACTCCTCTATAGTGATGGCTGCTAAATTGTATGTGATTCTCACTGTATATCCTTAGTACTTGAATTCTTTCTGGCTTCTTGCAGTGTTTTTTTTTTTTCTTTGATCTTTTGGCTCTGAATTCTGGCTTTAATGTTCCTTGGAGTTTTCATTTTGAAGTATCTTTCAGAAGGTGACATTCTTTCTATTTTCAATTTACCTTCTGATTCTAAGAGATCTGGGCAATTTTCTTTTAAAATTTTGTGAAATATGAGTTATGGGTTTTTGGTTTTGTTTTTTGTTGTTGTTGTTTTGTTTTTGGTTTTGTTTTTTGGTCATGACATTCAAGTAGTGTAATGATTCTTAATTTTTCCTCTCCTTAGTCTGTTTTCCAGGTCAAGTCTCTGGCAGAGATACTTTACATTTTCTTTTCTTTTTGCCAGTTTTTGATCTTATTTTAGTATTTCCTGTTTGATGGAGTCATCAGTTTCTATTTAGTTCATTCTAATTTTCAGGGAGTTTTTTTCTTGGGCAAGATTTTGTGCCTGTTGTGCCAAGCTGTTAATTCCCTTTCCAATTCTTCCTTCCATAGCTCTCATTTCTTTTCCAACTTTTTTCTCAAGTGCTCTCATTTCACTCTTATAAAAACATTTTAAAGTCTTTTTTAATTCCAGCTTCATCTTTTCCAGGAATTCTAGGTGAATTTGTGCCCAAACTATGTTGTTACCTATGGTTTTGCTTATAGATGTTTTGGAGTCATTCTTTTTAGGTTTGTGTCATGGGCATCCCTGTCATCATAATAGCTTTTTATGGAGGAATTCTTTTTTTGCATGTTCTGTCTTCCAGCCTATTTTTTTATTTCAGATTATGTGTTATGAACTGACTCTATGATGTTTAATATCGAGTTTATAACAAAACTCTTTAATGCTAAAAGTGTGTTGAGAGGAGGTAGAGACAAGATAGCAGAAGAGCAGGAAGAAGTACGGTAACCTCAAAATGTCCCCAGACATACCTAGAAATTGCACCAGACTTAATCCCGATGGGGGAAATCCAAGAAAGTCACTGGGCTGTTCCTGTTGTTACTTTCCTGGAGTAATGAGTGTTATGTTATTCTAGGATCTAACTGAGTCTGTTAGCTATTAGTGCTCCCAAAGTGGTCTGATCCAGGGCAGAGTCTGATGCTGCCCCTTTGGTCTGAGCTCTGTAAGTTCCTGACATGAGTTAGGGTGTGAGCAGCAGAAGACTGTTGCTGAACTCCACCACTCTCCAGCTGGAAAGTTCTGATTAAGAGTAAGAATGGCAGGCTTCCCTTTAGTCTGGGATTCCTGCTCTGGCTATTCCTCTATGGGCTTGAGCCTGAACTGGAAGCTAGAACTAAGACCCCACTGTGCTTTTGGGATCTGAACTTCACTACTGCTGCTTCTAAAGTATCCATATAACCTGTCTATCTCCTTATGCTGACCTGGAAAAAAGACTTACTGTGACTTTCTTGAATTCCCCCATCAGGATTCAGTCTGGTGCAATTTCTAAATATGTTAGGAGGGGTTTTGAGGGGAGCTCACCATGTTTTTTCCTGCTATTCTACTATCTTGACTCAATTTCCCCTACACCCACTTTTAGCATTTTTTTTGAACAGTTTTGTTATAAACTTGATTGTAAAAAAATCAATAAAATCAATTACATTTACTTTACTATTTAAATTTAAGTAAAGGAATTTTAATGCATTAAATACCTTTTCAAGCACCCCTTCAGTTTTCATCAGGAATCTTTGTCCATTTGTTCCCATTTACTTTTCTTCATACATGGTTCCTCTTATAACATTCGTATACTCTGCTATTATGATTCTTTTTTCACTTTGTGTGTCTGTTTCTCTACATCTCTGCCTGTATTGTTTTGAATTATATTTGTCAATTAGGTTACCAGTTTGCTTCTGATTATTGAGCCAAGTATTTTTCAAATAATTATTAACTACTTACTTCTTCTTTGGAAAATTGTCAACATTCATTTAAAATTTTTTTTCTAGTTTATATTTTAACTTTTGCTTGTATCAAGTCATTGGAAGTATGCACTAGGACAAGAATAAGTTTTTCAAATTTTGAAACATGACTTTACCATCTTGATTATGATTACACCTACTCGTTAGGAAATGCTTAACCTTAGTGAATGGAATAGAAACTAGTGGAGAGTAACTTTCTGCCTTAAAGATTTAAAGTTGTTTTTAAAAAAAGTGTCATTTTCCTTTTGGGGTTTGGTTGAAAGTTTTATTTTTTTAGATCAGAATTAACATAAACCCTTGAGTGACAAAAAAAATTACTTAAGTTATTAGTAAGATTCATAATTTCTGATGCTTTATTTTTCCTTTTCACAGGGGCAGCTTTTACAGAAGGATTATCAAGTGGTTTAAGTACTTCTGTTGCTGTCTTTTGTCATGAATTACCTCATGAGTTAGGTAAGAAACATTTTTAATATGCATTTTTAGCATATTTATGTGGACTATTCTTTTACTACTACACTATTAGAATTTTTTGGATCATTTGTTTCTCTAAATCTAGTCGTCAGGTGTAATGACTTTAGAAAGGAGTAAAGAGGTGTCTTCTTTAGAGTACCAAGTAATGATTCACTTATGTTTGCACCAGTGAATTCTCAAAAGACAGTGGTTTGTCTGCCTATACAGTTTTTTCATTTGATCTTCTTTACCAGTCATGAGCATCTAAACAAATGCAGTCCTACTCAAATGATTGTGCAACCTTGTTGTTTGGGAAAGTTCCTGCCATCAGTACAGATCACAATCTTTGCCTGCCCATCCTGTGGAACTTAACCATATTCTCTCATAAGTTCACCCAACTCTTGCTGGAGGATTAGTTTGATTTCACCCGATGTCTCAAGGATACCAGTCAAGCACTTTGGATGTCCACCTATTATCAATCACCTGTATTATGTGACTAATCCATCTTCTCTTCTTATTTGTATCTATTTATTTTAAATTAAATTTACCAACTTTTATTTTTTTCCCTTTCTCAATTTAATTTGTTACTTAATCTAGTCCAAACAGGCCCTCTTCCCAGCTTGTCTGTTATTTTCATTATCTCATTTTAAAAAATAAAATTTTATTGATATCTTTTAGTTTATATATCTCCTACATTACCTATATCATTTACCTCATCCTCTCCCAGAGAGCCAGCCAACCATAATAAAGAATAAGAGAAAGAAAGAAAAATAAAGAATAAGAGGGGAAAAAAGTTTGAGCAAAACTAACAATTACCAAAGACATCTGACATTTTATGTAGTGTTATATACACATGGTCGTGCCCCTCTGCAAAGAAGTAGGGAAAGCTGTTTTCTGATAATTTTTCTTTGGGGTCAGACTTTGTCGTTAATGATTTCAAAGCATTCAGTTTTGATTGTTTTGTTGTTTCTCTTAGCATTTGTAGTACATTGTTGTAGTCATTGAATATATTGTTTTCTTGATTCTTCTGCTTACTTCACTTTGTATCACTCAATATAAGCTTTTCCATGCATTTGTATTTTATCATAGTTACCATTTCTTATAGCACAGTAATATTCTATCATATTCGTGTGTCATAGTTTGTTTATATATCTCCTAATCAATAAAGCAGCCACTTTGATTTCAATTCTTTGCTGCCACAGAAAGTGTTGCTATAAATATTTTGATGTAAAATAGGACCTTTCTGTAATTAACTTCCTTAAGGTATATGTATAAGTGATGGAATCTCTAGTCAAAGGAAAGTCACTTTATTTGAATAATTCCAGATAGGTTTCTACAATAGTTATATCAAATCATATTCTCCACCAACAATGTATCAATGATCTTGTCTTTCCACAATCCTTCCAAAATTGACTATTATCTTTTGTCATCATTGTCAATTTGCTAGGTATGAGGGGAAACCTCAGTTGTTATTCTGTTTTGCATTTCTGTTATTATTAGTGATTTGAAATACTCTTTCCTATGATTAAGAATTTATAATTCTTTTGAGAACTGTTTTTTCATATATTTTGACCACTTACCTATTTGGTCTTATATAGACAATGTGACTATACATATATCTTAGATGATGGAAATATGTATCTTGGATATCAGACTCTTATTGGTGATATTTGATACAAAATTTTTTGTTTGTTTTATACACAGGCAACCACTTTCCTTTTTATTCCAGTTGCATTAATTTTGTTCATGCAAAAGTTTTTCAGTTTTCATGAAGTCAAAATAATCTGTTTTATCTTTTGTAAATCACATTTAGTTCCCTGTTTGGTTAAGTATTCATCCCCTCAAAATAATACTTTCAGACTTCAAAGCATATTATAAAGCAACAGTCATCAATCAATAGAATAGACTATTTAGACTAGATTAAGTAACAAATTAAATTGAGAAAGGGAAAAAGATAAAAGTTGGTAAATTTAATTTAAAATAAATAGATACAAATAACAAGAACAGAAGGGAGAATCAGAAATAATAAAACCAAATAACCCATTTTTCAATAAACCTGAAAACATAAATTACTTAGGAAAAAACTCCCTATTGGTTAAGAACTGGGAAAACTGTAAAGCAATCCAGAGGTTCACTGCTAGACATATAGCCCAGGGAGGTCATTGATAAAAAGAAAGGCCCTATATACACCAAAATATTAATTAGTAGCACTCTTTGAGGTAGCAAAGAATTGGGAACAAAGTAGATGCCCAAGGAAATGTCTGAACAAATTGTGGTACATTAATGTAGTCAAATATTAGTGTGCTATAAAAAATTATGAATATGGAAAAAAAATTAAATAGCCAACGTGAACTGATGAAAAATTAAGTAGAGCCAAGAAAAGATTGTGTGCAATAAATATAACAGTGTAAATAGAACGACCATAAAACAAAAACAAAAAAAAAAGAATTTTGCAAAATTGCAAAGAACAAACAAGGCCCTAAAAAATAAAAAGGAAAAAGACACCTCATCCCAACCTTGGCAGAGGTGGGAGGTCTACAGGTGTGAAACATTGTACGTATTTGCAGATTTTTTTTTTTATGTTCATTTATTTTACTGATTTCTTTTACTTTTTAAAAAAGTTATTTGTTCTATGTGGTAGCTCTCTAGGAAGTGAGAGGGAAGTGGTATAGGAGGGGAAATATAAGTAAAAATAAAAGAGATCAATAAAAATTTATTTAGAAAATTCACCCCCAGTCATTATTGTGTAACGTATATAATCTTTATGGTATAATCTTTAATATTCATGTCACAAATGCATTCTGAGTTTACTGTGGTATAAGGTATAAGTCATTTGTCTAAACTTAATTTCTGCCTGAATGCTTTCTATGACTAAGGTCTAGAAGTGCTATATGCCACTTTTATTAAGGTTAGAAACTTAATCTCTCTCTCTTCCTTTCCCTTTTGTATTGGAAAACACTACATGATGCAGCTGCTTTCTTTGAAGTACTTTATTCCTGACATTGCTGGACATTCCCTTATGTTATTGCAGCAGCCTCTTAGAAAGCCTCTCTGACTATTCTCTTTTCCCTAGTCTCCAAATATTGCTTTTACTATGTCACTTTTATGTTCAAAGTGTATTAAAAGGGCTCTCTATATATTGCCTATTCAAACACCTTTGCCTGATTTTTGAAGGCTTCATCATCACTCTCACTTTACCTGTTGAATCTAATTTCCCACTTCTCCCCCAAACACATCTTGACTCCATCAAATTCTTTCTCATATTCATGTCTGTTGTTTAAAGTATGTTGTATTTTCTATAGTTTGAAGCATTATTGTAAGTGCTAGATAAATATTTGATTGGAGGTTCCAGTCTTGCCTCTGAGGCTTAAATACCTGGATAATCATCAGCAAGTTAGTTAATTTCTTTGAGTCTCAATTTCTTTATCTATAAAATATGAATAATGTTAGTTGGCATACCTGCCTTCGAGGGCTATTTTGAGACTTAAATGTGAATATTTCTCAATGCTTTGCAAATGTAAGAGGATTAAATAAATGTCCTTGACTTGATTGATTTGCTAGGAGGATGGCAGACAAACCCAAGCAAATATTCATCAATGAATGAACACAATCACTTCAGTGTTCTTTTTTTAATAAATTACACAGTTGCAAAAAAAATCATTTGATGAATCTTAATGGAATGAAAAATTTTGCTTTTTAAATTAAAGATTTTTTAATCCTAAAATTATAAAAGCCTTGTCCTTTTGTAAAAGCTATAATTTTGTCTAATTTATTTTTGTCTGAATACCTTAGTTTTGTTAGAATGTAGTGAACTTAGTAGTTTATTTCTTGTTTAAATCTGAGACTGCCTTTTTGTGCGCGCATCTTCATACAGTTAGCTTCATTGTTTCTGTTAACAATAATGAAGGAAACCTATAATGACTTTTTTTGTTTCTCTTTCATATAGGTGATTTTGCGGTTCTGTTAAAAGCTGGCATGACTGTTAAACAAGCTGTTCTTTATAATGCCCTGTCAGCCATGCTGGCTTATCTTGGAATGGCAACAGGAATTTTTATTGGTCATTATGCTGAAAATGTTTCTATGTGGATATTTGCACTTACTGCTGGCTTGTTCATGTATGTCGCTTTGGTCGATATGGTAAGTTTTTATGCAATTAAATCACATTCTCTGATCATAATACTCAAATACTAAAAATAATCAGCAAGAGATTAGTTTTGAAAAAGATTTTATACAGAATGTAGTAGTGATAAAACTTGTGAGGTTTGTCCTGAGGAACACATGGAGCATCTGCTTTTCTGCAGACTGTTGATGTCTGGTGCCAGCCATCTCCTTTCTAACACATGTGACAGTGTTAACAATCCCATCTTCTTTTTCAGGCTTTGGCAACCCACACAACTGGTTTAAGCTGAGTAGAATATCAAGAGAGTCAGTCACCTATTAGTAATTTGTAATTATTTGGAGAAGACATAGGACAATTAAATCAATACTTGAAGTAGTAGCAAATAGAAAACTTGGCTGTATTGGTAACAAGCTGTCTTTGCTTCAGAATATTTAAAGAGCATTGCTAATTAATAAATGAACAAAGAAAGAACAAAAACCATATAATAATTGCTGGGAATATTTAAGTTCAATGTGAAGCTTCCATTTCCCAAATCTTACTTAGTCCTAGCTAAAGAGGAAAGAGAGAAGGGAGGAAAGAAGTTTCTGATTAGTCTGAAAATGTCAGCACCCTAGCCAGTGGCAATGTAGGAAACAGTGGCATGCCAAAAGTATCCTTAATCTTGATCTTCAAAGGAAAGAGTATTTTCCTTAAGGTTACAAATACCATCCCTTTGATACAGAAAGGAATCATTTTGTTTCTGGGGTCTTAAAACCACCTTGGCAGTTCCCACAGTGTAAAACTTTTTTTAAAGATGTATACAAAGAAATTGAGACAACAAAATAACTAAGCACATTAAAATTGTATTATGCTATTTGAAATCTTGGGCAGCTTGGTGGTACAGTGTATAGAGTGCTGGGATTGGAGTGAGGAAGACCTGAGTTGAAATCAGGCCTCATACACTTAATAGCTGTGTGATCCTGGGCAAGTTACTTAACCCTGTTTGCCTCAGTTTCCTTATCTGGAAAATGAGTTGGAGAAGGAAATAGCAAACCACTCCAGGCTCTTTGCCAAGAAAATCCCAAATGTAGTGATGAGGAGTCAGACACAAATGAAAAACAACTAAACCAACACAACAAAATTTGAGATGTGAGAAGGCAAGGGGTTACTGACAACAGCACTACAGTATTGTACTGAGCTGTGCAGAGCTATGATCTTAATTTCTACCTTTTTTAATATAGTCAACTAAAAGAGAAGATTTTTCAAAAATATCCTTGAGGAAACTTAGAGCCATGGTTTTGTGTGTGTGTGTTTTGTTTTGTTTTTTTTTAGAAACTGAATCTATTTCTCATTAGACTCAGAAGTAACCTCAGCAGATATCCAGTCCAATCTCTACCCAAAGCATAATCCTTCTTATGATGTTATATCAAGGAGTCATCCAGCTTTTGCTTAAAGATTTTCAGTGACAATTTACTCTTCATAAGGCAATCTGTTCCTCTTTTGTACGGCTCTAATTGTTAGAAAAATTTTCCCTTATGTTGAGCTAAAATCTCCTTCCATATTATTTCTACCCCATTTGACTCTCAGGGTCTCAATAGAACAATACTAATCTCTTACAGATGGTAGTCCTTTAGATATTTGAAGGATTCTCTCCTGTTCCCCTAAATTTTCCACACTGAAGTTAAACTTCATTTGTTTCTTTGTTTCCTATTGTTGACTTTATCTGAACACATTCTCATTTAATGTTCCTCTGAAAATATGGCACCGAAACTGTTCACAGCATTTCTGGGTGTGATTTGACTAGGGCAAGGTTCAATGAGTGATGTTCTTTCCTCACTTTATTACTGTACTTTTATTAGTGCAGCCCGAGTCCACATTAGCATTTTTATTTTTGGCTCCTGCCTAATACTAATGATTCATATTGAATTTGTAGTCTACTAGAATCTAAGTCTTCTTTTACATGACTCATTCTAGCCATGTCTCTAATGGATCCTATACTTAGGCAATTGATTTTTTTAAACCCAAGTCCAAGATTTTACCTTTTTTCTTATTTAATTGCATTAACTTCAACCCACGCTTTCATTCAGATCTTTTGATAACCCAGTTCTTTTATACAGTGGGATTATAAAATTGCCCGAAGTAATAAGAAATTTTAAAGGTCGTGCTTATGGAAAAACTTGCTACTTTCTTGAGCTGCCATTACATCAGCACTTGTAACTTCTCAAGCATCCTGCTTTTAAACAGGATAAACCTTTCTTAAAATCCATGAATCAGCTCTTTCACTGAATCCCTGAATTTCTTATCTTTTGATCCCTTAGATTGCCCTTGAAATCCTAAAGTTTGAAGGATCATAGTAGGGTCATAGATTTGGAGGTGGAGGATACTTGAGAGATCATCACGTTCCACCCTCTTGTTTTACAGTTGAGGACATGGAGGCCTAGAAATCTCAAGTGACATGACCTCTGTCCCACATCTGCTAAGCATCTAAGGCAGATTTTGTCCCAAGGTCTTACTGACTTTCCAAGTCCAACCATTTAATTATAACACCAGGTCATCTGGTCCAGCCCTCACCCAAGTTATTAATTCTCTCTAGAGTATTAGTGAGTTACCCTGTACTCCTTCAAAGATAAAGCAGCCCCTGCCTTTTTTGGCCAGATATCTAATAAAACAGTGTATTCGTTGATATTTAGATAGTGCTTTACAGAGTACATTATGTGCATTCTCATTTGATACACTCAGTATAACCCTGTAAGGAGTCAGGTTAGGGTTTTAGAATTTTAGAATTAGAAAAGAAAGGACCTTCAGATTAATTTAATCCAGCCTTCTCTTTTCTGGAGAAGTGAAAATAACTGCCTATAGTCATGCAATTATTTAGATCAAGCATTAGAACCTGGATGTTCTGACTCTAGTGGAACACATGAGATAATAATTGTAAAGCACTTAGCACACTACCTGGCACGTAGTAAGTTAAGTTCAGTGTAAATGTTATTATTGTTAAATTATTATCACTATCGTTGTTTTTAAGCATTCTGCTCAATATAGTACACTGCCTCCTGTGTTGCTCTTTCTTATATTAAATCAATATAGATTTCCTTTGAAATTCTTCACATAGTTACCAGTTCTGTCCTCTGGGGCCACATAAAACAAGTCTGATCTCCTAAAAGACAGCATTTGAAGATGATGTCATATGTCTTCTCCCCTAACCCAAGTAATGTCTTCTCTTGACTAAACATGCCTAGTTGTTTACACACCATTCAAGTCACCCATCTCTGGACTCAATGTCTTTTGTGAAATGTCACCCAGAATTGAGTAATAATGCTCTAGCACAGATCTGACCAGCATAGAGTTTGGTGGAGCCTTTGATTTGGAGATTGTACTTCTATGAATTCAATTGTACAATCCTTAGTTTGACCTTAAATCTATAGAATCAAGTCTTTCCATTCTATTTATACTTACTAACTTTTCATTTTAAGCATCAATCTTATTTTATGTAGTATTATTTCTATAAGCCAAACAAGAAAATTTTCATGACCTCACTACATACAAATAATATTTTTCATAATTTTATTAAAATTGCAGGAAACCTTAGAAATAACCAAGTTCAATATGTTTATTTTAACAGATGAGTAAGCTGAGGCCAGGGAAACTTCCCAAGTTAAAACTAGTAGTAGTAGAGCCAGGAAGTACACTAAAATTAATTTATACTTTAAGTATTAGAGAATCAGACTAATACATATGTTATAGGTTAATTTTTTTAATTAGGCTTTTTACTATATGTTGCTTAGGGAGAGAATCAAATCTGTGCAATGAATTATGTTTAAATGAGATGCTACAGTTTTATAGGACATAGAGCTCTGCTTCAAGCTTTTATAAAAATCACTGATGAAATAATTTTGTGTTGTTGTTATTTAAATTAGTATACTCTATGCTGAATTGTTTAAAATTGATATCTGTTGGGCTGGAAATTTTAGCAATGTAATGATTTTTTCTTTTTTTTTGTTTTAGGTTCCTGAGATGCTACACAATGATGCTAGTGACCATGGATGTAGTCGCTGGGGATATTTTCTGTTACAGAATGCTGGGATACTACTGGGTTTTGGTATTATGTTACTTATTTCTGTGTTTGAACATAAAATTGTATTCAGTATAAATTTTTAAGTTGGATCATTAATGTTAGAATAAATCTTTTCTACTTATTTGTTGCTCTATTTCAGATATAGGTCATAGGGGAGCTGGGTTTTGTTGTTTTTTGTTTTGTTTTTTATGTGCTTCATAGAGTTTATACTTAGTAGTACTTGAAATTTTATATTAAGTATTGCTGTTGGTTATGACTGTAAAATTAGCTACTGAAGTAACAAAAGGTACGTTTAATGATGTTTAAGTTATTCTGTTCTGGAAATATAGCTGTGATGTTAAGGTTCACCAGTATTTACAGCTTTACTGTGTGGACAAGTGATGTGGTATGGCATGGCATGTTCTATATATAGTTCAGTTTAAAAAAAAACAAAACTTTTTTCTCTGATTCCTTCAGAAATTACTTTCTAACATAGTTTTGCTCATACCAGATTTTAAACCTCTGAAGTTCTTCTGTAATCAGGGGTAGTGGAGTCCTCAGTATCCTAAGATATGCTATCTGTGGGAAATGGAAGATCTATATACTTGAAATCAAGATGAGAAGGTGTAGAGTTTGAGTTTGAGAAAGAAAGGGACCTGTGAAGCAAGAATGGTTGACAAAAAGTCACTCACTATTTAGCAGGTGAGGAAAGAAAAGAATGTGAAGGCTTTGAAGTTGAGTGAAAGTTTAATGGGTACACTGCAGGAAAAAAAAAACATTTTGGGCATTGCTGTTTTAATATTCATACTATACTCAGGTATATACCTAGCCTTCTTTTTGTAATAACAAAAAATATGAATAGCTTGAATGAGATCATCATAACATCAGGCAATGTAATGGTTGACTGGAAAATCTGAAGTCCTAAACCATAGTGTGATGGGATATGAAGTTTAAACAGGAAACTCTTACTTCTCCAGAATAGTTAGGAAATGGGATGTTCTTACTACTTGTGACTTGCCCTACATGGCTATACCTACACTGCTAATTTTCAAAGGATTAGAATACAATTACTTGTAATCACAACTGCAAGTACTAAATCCAGGAAACTATTAAGCACAATTTGATCTTTCTTTGCTAATTAAGAAAGCACTTCATGATCTTGAAAAGCCTCAGGGTCAACATTTTGGACATTACTTGTTATTTTATGGTACTTTAGTTGTGACCCTGTGGCATGTCCTGAGAAGTTTGTTTGTTCTTTAAATAAATCTTTTGTATTGGTTTCCTGTTGTTTGTATAATTTTCATAAAATGAGAGTGAAAAATGTGTAAAGGCATAGATTCTGAGACACTGTATTCTGGCTGCCTTTTCTGCAAACTCACATTAACGACTGAGAGCCCTTTGCCCAATTTTGGCTTCTTTATCAGCAACACTGTAGGTTCTACTTTAATTACCTTTTAAATTCAACCTATTCTACTGAATTTTCATTAAATTTTTTTATCTGGATTTAAAGAGGGTTTATCCTTCACCACTTAAAGAATTTGTGCTATTATATTTAGGACAGGGGTTCTTTACCTTTTGTATGACATAAACCACTTCATAGGGGTTAGTGTCATATATGTGGTCAAGGTAGCAACTCACATGAGGTCCCTTTCAGTTGCAGATATAGGATCCTCTAATCTTATGTTCCTAATAGGTTGAGTAAAATAGTAGAATACAAAACAAATTGCAAAAATCATCAGCATTTCTGTAAAGCATTAACAAAAGCTGGAAGAAAATGATAACTACACAATGCACAAAACATCTGGGAGTTGATCTACCAAGACATACCTAGGATTTACACAAAATGCAACTATAAAGAAATAAAGACATATAATTTAGAGGAAAGTTCATTGTTCATGGTTAGGACATGTCAAGATAACAAAAATAATCTTTAAAAAATCAGACCTACAGTTTCACTGGTATAGGGAACCCAGGTGAAGAAACCTCTTTTACCATTGCAGAGCAGGAACTGCTCTGCAACTTATAATCTTAGAGTTAACTGGAGCACAGAGTGCCCCATGGGACTTGGCCATGGTCACACAGCTAGGACTTGAACCTTGTTCTTTCTGCCTTCAAAGTCAGCTCTCCATTCACTGCGCCATGCTACCTCTAATAAAAATAACTATACTACCTAAATTCACTTATAGATGTACTATACCAATAAAAATGCCAAGGAGTTGCTTTACAGAACACTTCAAAATAGTAAATTCATTTGGAGGAATATAAGCTCTACAATTTCAAGAGAAATAATGAAATAAACTAGTAATGAAGGGAATATGAGGCACAGAACTATCTCAGACTATTATAAATAGGAGTTACCAAAACTGTTTGGTGTGGCTTTAATGATAGGAAAGTAGGTCAGTGGAGCAGACAAGATAAGCAAGACCTAGAAGAAATTGAACATAGAAATCTATTGTTTAGTAAAGCCAAGAATAAAAACTACTGGGGAAATTGTAGGAAAATGGCAGAGTAAGGCAGCAAACTACCTGGCTCTCCCAAATTCCCCCACAAATAACTTAAAATAATGTTTCAGAGTAAATTTTAGAGCGGCAGAAATAATTCAAAGTTAGGGTAAAGCAGTCATCCAACCTAAGACAACTAGGGAGGATATTAGGAAAGATCTGACCTTCGGGTTGGTGGTCTGGCCTGATTGGACAGCTGATTGGAGGAAGATTACGGGGACCCCTCGATGGTACTAGACCAGGACCCAGGTGTGCTGATCATACAGGGTCCTAGGCTGTGGCTGTGGGCCAGGGGCCCTGCTGGTTGTGGTCATTGCAGGAAAGCCAAGTCCCTGGTTTCCATTCAAGGGCAGAGATGCAAGCTGATGCTTGCAAATGCCTGAGAAACCAGAGGAAACAGGAGCGTTTTTCTGTGGCAACAATGCTGAGGGATCTGGTGGTGGCTCAGTGTGGTAGAGAGGAATACTTGAAGTCACATACAAACCAAGACGTGAGCCAGAGGAGCAGTGATCACACCTGGTTTTGGATTATAAAGCATCCTAAGAAACAAGAGGTCGAAGGCCCCCCGATAGAGCTCAAAAAACAACAGCAGGAAAACCTGAAGCTTGACACCACATCTTGGGAGCGCAGAGTCTGATTCTAACATAAAGTTACCAGCCAAAAAATAGGCCATTTAGAAAAAAAATAGAAAGCAGAGAAAGAACCCTATCATAGTTAGCTGTTTTGGTGATGGAGATCAGAGTTCAAACTCAGAAAAAGACAAAATAGTTTTTTGTAAAGCTTTAAAGTAAAATGTAAAATGGTCATGAGCCCAGAAAAAGTTCTTGGAAGAGCTTTAAAAAGGACTTCAAAAGTCAAATAAGAAAGGTTGAGGGAAAATTGGGAAAATAAGAGTAATGCAATAAAATTATGAAAAAAAAAGTCAACCAATTGGAAAGAGATACAAAAACTTACTGAAGAAAATAATGCCTTAAAATTTGAATTGGATAAGGGGAAGCTAATGATTTCATAAGACATAAAAAAATAAAATAAAGAGAATTTTTAAAAATCCACCAATTATCACCTGAAAGTGATCCCAAAATGAAAACTCAAGAAGAGCATTATAGCTAAGTTTCAAAGCTCCCACATCAAGAAGAAAGTATTACAAGCAATTAGGGAGAAAATGTTAATATAATATTTCAAAGAGCAAAGGAGGTGGCAAAAATACTGGCATGGTTTACCATTTCCTTGTCCAGCTCATTTGACAGATGAGGAAACATGTAAACAAGATTAAGTGAATTGCCCTGGATCACAAAGCTAGTAAGTGTCTAAGGCCAGATTTGAACGAAGAGGAAATCTTCCTGACTCCAGGCTCAGCACTCTATTCAGCGCACCACCTAGCTGCCCAACATATATTTAACCTAAGTCTTTTTAACTTACAGAAAAATAAAATGAGGGAGGAATTCGAATTCTTAGAAGGGTGTATGGATTAAGAAATAGGAGGGTAATGGGATAAGATAAGGGAGGGACTTTTAGAAGGGTGTGTGGATTAGGGAAGCAGTAATCAGAAGTCAATTAGACTTCTAAGGAGGAATAGGGTAAAAATAGAAGGATAAACAGTGGGGAAAAATAGGATGGAGGGAAATACACAAGTAATCATAACTTTGAATGTCAATGGAATGAACTCACCCATAAAATGGAAACTGATAGCAGAATAGACCAAAAACTAAGACCCAACAATATGTTATTTATAAGAAATACATTTAAAAATTAAAGACACCCAGAGTAAAAATAAAAGTCTGGAATAGAATTTACTATGCTTCAGCTTATGTTAAAAAAAAAAAAAAAAAGGAAGGGGTAGGAATCATAATCTCAGACCAAGTTAAAGCTAAAAGAGATTTAGTTAAAAGAGATAAGAAGGAAAACTATTATATTAAAAAGTACCATAGGTAATGAACTAATGTCAATACTAAACATATATTCACCAAATGCTATAGCATTCAGATTTTTAAAGGAAAGGGTAAATGAATTATAGGTGGAAATAGCAAAGCTATAGTGGGAGGATTTCAACCTTCCCCTCACAGAACTAGACAAATCTAATGAAAAAGAATCAAGGAGATTAGTAGGATCTTAGCTAGATTAATACAATCTTAGATATGATAGGCATTTGGAGAGAATTGAATGGAACAGAAAGGAATATACCTTTTTCTCACCTTTACAAAAATTGATTATAAATTAGGTCATAAAAACTTTATAGTTAAATGCAGAAAATCAGAGATATTAAATGCATTCATTTCAGATCATAATTCAATAAAAATTACATTTAATAAAGGACCATGGAAACACAGATTTTAAATTAATAAGCATATTAGGAGAGCATGGAATGGTTTACCTATCAGATCTATGGAAAAAGGAAGAATTTATGACCAAACAAAAGTAGAGAACATTACAAAATGCAAAATTGATCATTTTGATTACATTCAATTAAAAAGGGTTTACACATACAAAACCAATGCAACCAAGGATTAGAAGGAAACCAGAAAGATAGGAAACAATTTCTATGGAAGTGTTTCTGATAAAGGCCTCATTTCTCAAATATATAGAGAACCAAGTCAAATTTGTAAGAATACAAGTTATTCTCCAATTGATAAATGGACAAAGGATATAAACAGGCAATTTTCGGATGAAATTAAAACTATCTATAGTCATGAAAAAATGCTCTAAATCACCATTGATCAGAAAAATGCGAATTAAAACAACTCATCCCTATCAGACTGGCTAATATGACAAAGAGGGAAAATGATGGATGTTGAAGAAAATGTGGGAAAATTGAGACATTAATGCATTGCTAGTGGAGTTATGAACTGATCCCACCATTTTGGAGAGCAGTTTGGAACTATGCCCAAAGGGTAAACTGTGCATACCCTTTGATCCAGCAATGCCACTATTAGGACTGTACTCCAAAGAGATCATAAAAAAGGGAAAAGGACCTCCTTGTACAAAAATATTTATAGCGGCTCTTTTTGTGGTGGCAAAGAATTGGAAATTGAGGGGATGTCCATCAATTGAGGAATGGCTGAACAAGTTGTGGTATATGAATGTAATAGAATACTGTCATTCCAGAAGTAATGGTGAGCAGGTGAATTTCAGAAAAACCTGGAAAGACTTATGTGAACTAATGGTGATTGGAGTGAGCAGGACCAGGTGAATATTGTACATAGTAACAGCAACATTGTACAATGACGAACTGTTATAGAATTAGCTTTTCTCAGCAGGACAATGATCCAAGACAATTCCAAAATGCTATCCACGTCCAGAGAAAGAACTATGGAGACTGAATGCAGAGCGAAGCATATTATTTTCACTTTTTTTGTTATCTTTTGTGTTTTTTCTCTTCTGTTTCTTTTTTCACAACATGACTAATGTGGAAATATGTTTAACATGATTGAATATCATATTGCTTGCCATCTTGGAGGGGGGAGGAGAAGGAGGGAGAGAGAAAAATTTGGAACTCAAAATCTTATAAAAAAAGATTGTTGAAAACTACATGTAATTGGAAAAAATAAAATACTATTTATTAAAAAATTAAAATTAATTGGGGACTAATTAACATAATCTTAATGAGTAAGTTAAAGAACAAGTCATAGAAACAATAAATAATTGTATTAAAGAGAACAATAATAATGAGACGACATATCAACACTTATGGGATGCAGCAAAAGCTGTAGTCTCAGGAAAATGTATATCTCTAAATGCTTACATCAATGAAGTAGGGAAAGAGCAGATCAGTGAATTGGATA